GCTTCAGTTTGTGCCCGTTGCCCCTTGTCCTGTCGCTGGGCACCACTGGAAAGAGTCTGGCCCCGGCCTCCTGACCCCCACCCTGCCGATATTTAGAGGCATTTCTAAGGTCCCCTCTCAGCCTTCTCTCCTCCAGGCTGAACAAGCCCAGCTCCCTCAAGGACATGAGAGCTGGCGCAGGACAAGTACGACCATGGATCAGCCAACGGGCCGGTGACCCTGGAGCATCCGACGGGACCTTGCAGCTAAGCAAGTCCGGTGTCACGCGTGGTCCAGCAGCAGCCAGGACCCCAGCACATCCCATCCCATGGTCACTGCTGATGCTTGGGAAGCCCCTCATTACACACAGCAGATATTGTGTGACACGCTCAGCCCACTGCTGAGATTTGCTTCAAGTACTTCATTTAGAAAAGCCTGCCAAGATCGCACAATAACTCCACTGCTTCAATAGCACAGGTTCAGCCTCTTTCAAAGAAGATGTCAAACCTCGAAACGACTCTGTTTGGCAGGTAAGCAAGTGGATACACAAAGATTTACAGGGAAAACAAACAACAAGCTCGCTGCCAATTTGCCCACACTCAAAGCTCACAGCTAGCTCAGCGCTCCGGTTGCAGCTCCTCTCTCGGGTACTCTGCACATACTCAAATTATAAATAGCTCAAGTGGCTTCTTCAGGTGGGAAAAGCCGCATGAAGAGAAAGGTTAATGTTTCCAGGTCAACCACTCACAGCTACGCTGCACTGCAGGCTCTGCAAACGGACGACTGGGATGTGAGGTCGCCGAAGATGGGTATGGGAGAGCAGATCTGCTTACCCACCGCAGGCTCCGACGTCAGCTGGAAAAAGAACCAGCCCTGTGCTATTTCTGGTGCTTGGTACCATCACAAGTAAAGGTAAAGAGGAGCTGAGTCCCGGGCAACCTGAGTGACTGAAGGATTTACGGTGGGCCACCACTCTGCGGAGGGCAAGGCAAAAGCCCTGCAGCTTGGGATGTGACAGAGGCTGGAGGTAAGACGTGTATATCCCACAGGAAAGCTTTCCAGGTCACAGAGGGTTTTTCCGAGGATTTCAGTGGCTGAAGCAGGTGTCAGCCCCTCTTGCAGCTGGTGATGGAGCTGGAAGAGCCAGAGGGTCCGCACAACCCTGCACGGTGAAGGCACCAGGCTGGGGTGTTCATCCATCATCTCCTCGCAGAGTTGCGGAACAAAGAAAGAAAAATATGACCAATCTCAGCCACTGTCAAGAAAATGCTTCTATTTAACCCAAACAAAGGGATTTTGCCTCTCTTGGGCTTCCTTGGCTTTACAGTTCAAGACGCTTTATCCTGATAAGGCACTACCCAGGGATCAAACTAATCCTACGCTAACCGAAGGATCAGCTACAAACCTCTGTCGGCAGCGCTCGTTGCGAAGGCGTGTTTTCCTCTCTGATTGTTTTCCAAGAAAATTAAACAAAAAACTTTGAAACCTCCAACTGGAAAGCGCTAACCATGTTGCAGGGTCACTGCAGAGACTCCCGTCGTTCACGGCAGATGGCTATGGGACATTTTGGGGCGGCCTCCTGATCGCGGTGGCAAGGGCAAAGAGCGTGATATCCGTTGGTCTCCTCGCATACTACATCTGGTATGCAAGAGCTGGGGAGCAAGGATCCAAACCAGGGCACCTGCAGAGCACCACGGACCATCTCCCAGCCCCAAAGCCAAGGGGAACCCACGTTCCCTGCTCCAGGAGCTCACACCATCGCTGGGGCCAAATCCCTGCCACCCTCCTCCACTCTTCTTTAGCTTCGGGCTTTTGCTTTGCGCAGGATCAGCCCCCTCCTCCGCAGCCTGAGGGGATGTCCAGAGCAACGTGGATGGTGGCCATGGGCGCAGCAGGAGAGGACCACACAGGAGTGGGGACAGCACGCCTGTCTAGTAAGAGCATTGCTCTGAGCCCAGAAAGCATCTTCACAGGGAAGGCAGCCAGCGCAAAAGCGTTGGTCTCTCCTCCAGAGCAACTAGTGATAGAAGAGGGGAAATGGCCTCACGTTGCATCAGGGGAGGTTCAGATGGGATATTGGGAAAAATTTCTTTCCTGAAAGAGGGGTCAGGCCTTGGACCAGGCTGCCCAGGGCAGTTGGGGAGTCCCCAGCCCTGGAGGGGTTCAAACACCGTGGGGATGTGGCACTTGAGGACATGGTTTAGCAGGCATGGGGGAGTTGGGGTGACAGTTGGACTTGGTCATCTTAGAGGTCTTTTCCAACCCATGATTCTGTGATTCTATGAAAGGGTTACAGAGCAAAGCCAGATGAGCACAGACTCACGTCAGGGCACCACGGGGAAGCAGAAGAGGACGATGCGGTACGACACAAGGGCTGCAGCGCTGGGCAAAGCAGCCAAGGAGAGATTACCACCGTGCGTGAAAAGCTGGCGAGGAGGACAACAGCCAAGGGAGCAAAGCGAGGGCCACGCTGCTCCCAGAGCACCTCCGACACCTTCACGCTTGGCCTGAGGTCCC